CAGACAGACTGATTTCAGAGAAAGGTTTAAATGTATATTACAGGACCACGCGGGCCCCTTGGGAAGATTTGATTGGTAAAATTGGAATGGGCCCCGACTGTGAGTCATTCTGTTCTGTATTACTTAACAGGATTCTAAACTACTGGGCTTGTTTCTTTCTTCTTAGTTTTTATTTACGTTAATTTTTTCATGTATTTTTTTAAAATTCGTTTTTATGATTCGGGTTTTTTTAAATCTTAGAAATGATTTTAAAATATATATATATCATGTCCTGTTATATTCGGTTTTTTAAGTTTCATTTAGAAACATTATTAGTTTCTTAACGAAAATGACAATCAATCACGTTTTTATAGCGTCAATCAAAAAATGTTTGTCTATTAAATTCTCATTGTTTAGGTTTACCCATTTTTTTATATTAATTTAAAATTATAAAACTCTTAATGAGTTAGAATTAAACCACTCTCTAATTTATATATAGTCACATCTAAATTTCATTAAAAACAAATATAATTAAACGAATTGACATCTTCATAGATTGTAAATTTAATAAAGACACGTATAATATTTTTTGATTTATCTAGTCTCTCCAGTTAATCGGAACCAGTGTGGATGCACACGCCTCGACGTCCCGACCAAGATCACCTAGTTAGACCTACCGTGTGGCCGGCATTTAACTGTTTACTAGTTTTTGCCCGCGACTTCGTCCGCGTGGTAAAGTTACGTTGAGCAGCATTTCTAACGAATATTTATCCATTATATTGTGTAAAATACCTGAAATAAACTTTTATCCCCTATTTTATCCCCTTAGGGGGAGGATTGATCAAAATCCTTGCTTAGGGGTGCCTACGTTATAATCGCTTTATGCATGCAAAGTCTCAGCCCGATCGGTTTAAAATTGTCAAAGTTTCATACAAACTTTCGTCCCCTATTTTATCCCCTTCGGGGTAGAATTGATCAAAATCCTTTCTTAGCGGATGCCTACGTTATAACACCTACCTGTATGCCAAATTTCAGCCCGATCCGTCCAGTGATTTGGGCTGTGCGTTGATAGATCACTATGTCAGTTCGTCACCTTTGAGTTATATAAATTTAGATATCCAAATTTATTTTTCTTTTATTAGGTACTTCTGTGGTCTAAAATCTAAACCCATGCAAGTCCTATGCGAGTTTGTTTATGAATGACCAAAAAATACTATCTCGAGCTACTCCGTGCTTCCGGAAGGCACTATATGCCGTTAATCCCTGCTGGATTTGCAGTCGTTAATACCCTCATGGCCCATCCTCCAGGAAAACCTGAGCCCCTGCAGTGAAGACGTAAAAGAGATGATGATGAAGTATTGTGCTAGTTCCTGTCTTTGGTACAATTTAATATAGGAAGTGATGTTTTAAAGAATCCTATTAATATTATAAATGTGAAAGTTTCTTTGTATAGATGTTTGTCCGTCAATCACGCTGAAACTGCGAACTGAGAACGGATTTTGATGAAATTTGTTATACAGATATGGTATTAGCTGACTTAGATAATAGGATACTTTTTTTCACTTAACATTTCTCTAGGGACCACGCGAGTGAAGCCGCTGGCGAAAGCTAGTGATTAATATAAATAAAGTATAGATGACCAAATATGATTTATTTTTAACGAGTCTACCATTTTATACCACAGACTAATTATTTAAAAAATATAAATTTAAAAAATCTGTATTAAGGATACTACGAGATGATCGGTGGCTTGTTATAGACCACTATTGGATCTACGAAAAGTTTTAGAATTAGGAGCTTATAGTAAAGATTAGGAGAACTAGGACCCCGTGTATAATGTTCATGCATTTACTAGTATATTTTTTTAAACTATCAACAATACATGTCATATAAGCACTTGTAATTTTATCAGACTTTCTCCCAAAACTATAAAAAAATATATAATTGTAATCACTGTTTTTTTTAATATTATGCGTAATTTCTCACTAGTGTCTACTTCTAGCTAATGTTATTCAGTTCCTATGTTATTGTGTATTTAAATCACAAAGCATGTACAGTAGTTCCAGAGGTAACTGAACTCACATTAGACGGATAGTCAGTTGACATCATCCATCCGTTAGTCTACTTAATTAAATCTAGTCAATTGTAGTTATAGTCGTCTAATCCTATAAAATCACATAATAGCTCACAAATATCAATGTTCTCATTTTTTTATTGGTAAATATAACCATTTTAATCGAATACGAAATGTTTCTTTTTAATTAGGCACTATGGACTTTTGATTTTAAGATCAAGATGCATTGTTCTTCTTTACAAAGCCTTGGTCGACAACAGACACTATAATACAACTTTTGTTACCTTTAAATAGGCTCATTATTGCTGAATTTCATCTCTTATATTTGAAAATTAAAACATTGTAATAGATATAAACTAAATACCATCGATTGAAATACAAATTGATATAGTCCTGTACGAGAAAACGCACTGAAATTTTTATACTTCAACATATTGTATCTGGTCGATGTATAAGTAAAACATCTTCATATCTTTTTCATTTAAAAAGATGCAAACGCCTGGTGATTAATCACCAGCAACAAAACACTTCATTACTACTATTTTCACAGGCGCAATACAAATATACTTTGAAATACATCAGCTACAGCGCTCGTTATCTCCAAAGACCTCGACTACTAAAAGAATTATATATTAAAAAGTTTCTTTGTAAAATCCTTTTTGAAAAAAAAAACTTGAAAAAAAGTATGGTTTAGGGGTAACTCGATGTTTTTTTAAACTATTTTTTGGGTAAATACATACTTTAATAATGGACAGCCTATGAAAGATGGATGGATTTATACACGGAAATTTTGCCAACATCCCGTAGTGAGAGAGACACGTGACCAGATACATATTGAAATGAAATGAAATGAAAATATCTTTATTCGAGTAGGCTATTACAAGCACTTTTGAATCGTCCAAAAAACTTTTTTCCCCTACCACTTGTTCAGGACGTCTTTTAGCTGACAAGAAGAACAAGCGAAAGAAACTTATCAGCTTTTTATCATAAGTAATGACATTTACGTAAATCATGTCATTACCAAAATAATATGTATTATCAATTTATCACAATAGTAAATACAACTTTCAAAGTCTGTAGGACATAAGTTGAACATATAATTAGTCTTTATAGAACAAAGCGAAGGCTATTAATTCCATGCATTGCGATCTTTAAAATAATCATCAACTTTATAATAGCCTTTACTCACAAGTATATTCTTTACATGAATTTGAAATTTATTTATGGGTAGGTCAATTACATTTTGTGGAACTTTATTGAACATAGCAATACATTTACCCAGAAATGATCCTCTGGTTTTTTGAAGTCTGAAGCTTGGAACGGCAAGTTTATCTTTATTTCTTGTGTTAAGATTATGAACACTACTTTTTTTTGTGAAGGAATCGTAATGTTTTCTTGTGTACATAATATTCTCATAGATGTATTGAGAGGCAACAGTCAGAATATTTATTTCTTTAAATATTTCTCTGAGAGATTCCCTAGACCGTAAATTATATATAGCACGGACAGCTCTCTTTTGTAAAATAAAAACATCCTGAATGCTAACCGCAGAACCCCATAACAATATACCATACGTCATTACACTATGAAAATAACTAAAATATACCAATCTTGCCGTTTCAACATTTGTCAAGAGTCTAATTTTCTTAACAGCAAAAGCTGCAGAACTCAGTCTACTTGACAAGCAATCAATATGAGGATCCCATTGCAGTCGGGAATCTAGTGTAATACCAAGGAACTTTGTCGATTCTACTAACTCAACTTTTTCACTATTTACATTTATAAGTGTACTGACATGCCTCACATTAGGTAATGCAAACTTTATGCATTTCGTTTTATTTGAATTGAGCTTTAAATTATTATTATCAAACCACTGTAGAACGTTGTCGAGAGCATTATTTACATCGTCAAAACAATCATTACCCCTCTCAACTTTAAACAGTAAAGAGGTGTCATCTGCAAATAATACTGTCTCGCACAAATTCTTCGTAAAGTGAGGAAGATCATTTATATAAATTAGAAAAAGCAATGGTCCTAATATCGATCCCTGAGGTACGCCCATAGTAACTGGTGCCCCTGCAGATTTCGCTTCATTGATTACTACCTTTTGAATTCTAGCAGAAAGATATGATCTTATTAGATGAAGTGAATTTTTCGTCACACCATAATGTTCTAATTTCCCCAACAGTGTTTCATGACTAACGCAGTCGAATGCTTTTGATAGATCACAAAAAATGCCAATAGCATCTTGTTTATTCTCCCAAGCATCATAGATATGCCTCAGAAGTGCAATTCCAGCGTCTGTTGTACATTTACCTCTGCTAAAGCCAAACTGATTTTGGTGAAGTAATTTATTTAATGAAAAGTGTGCAAGCAGTTGATTGTACATCATTTTCTCAAATACTTTACTTAACGCTGGTAGAATAGAAATTGGTCTAAAATTACTAGGATCATACTTGTCGCCTGCCTTGAAAAGTGGGATTATTTCATTAAATCAGGAAAAGTTCCTTCATCAATGCACTTATTAAAAATAAAAGTTAATTGAGGTGCTATAGCTGGTATCTATTAAAAATCCAATAGCAGTATTTTTTATATAGTTTTTATTGCGATCCATCACAATCGGACATTTAGCAAAGAAGTAAAACAGTGATTTTATTTTCGTGAAAAAAAATCGTTTAATCATTTACTATCGAGAAAATTTTCCGATTCATCTACGACAAAACCCTCACAAATACGATTTAGTTTTCTGTTTTTTAATCTTCAGTACTTATTTTTTTGTACCAAACCAAGTAATTGATGTTTGTTTTACGCGCCCACTTAAATCACAGGTCTTTAATAAAATATATTAAATGTTCAATAAACTATTTAATATTTCTTTAAATTAGATTAACAAGTCAAATTGACATCCTATCATGTCTATTTTTTTAGTATCAAAATAATTTAAATTTTATTTTTTCTTCCCTGCGGGGGCCAAAGTCACTTTTGCGGGCTGTGCAGGGGGAGGTGTGGAGGCAGGACTTGCTTCCCCAGCTGTCAGGAATTTTTTCACTCGACTCTTTATCTCCTCATACATTTTGTTGTCATGATTCAACTGTGGCAGCACAGATATCCGCTTGTCTGCTTCCTGACGGAAAATGAAATAAAGTTGAATTTATAATTATTAATAACATTTTTTTCTAAACTATTTACTTGATCAATATATACGACGCAAGATAACCAGCCGCACAAATGAAACGTCGTCGTTATTTTGCGGGTGTCCATTATTATAACTATAGATTTACTTTAGAGTTAGAGACACTCAATAGAGTATCAACTACTTACTTGCCTTTTTGCCATTTACTATCTAACTGAAGTCCAATATTATTATTGCAATATCTTCCTCGCACATCACAGGTGACACATATAATAATATTGGACTTCAGGTAAATAGTACAATGGCAAAGTGATTCATACTTGAGATTACATTGAGATGCGATTAGACTTAAACATGAGCAGAACTGGCCTACAGTTCTTGCATCAAAAATTAGAATCAAGAAAAATTCATAGAAATTTGTCCATATTCAACCGGATTATTATAAAATCTTTAACTGATTTCACAATCGAAAAGGATGATACGTGTCTTTTTAAAATGTACAAAATACAAAACTCTACCACTATCTTAGAATAAAGACAAAGCATAGAAACCATAAGTTGAAAATAGTAATCTGTCTCATAACGAAATTGAGTTCGGCTGTATGAGTAAATGAGATAACAAATTTACATTTGTTTCTTATTTGTCAATGTTGTCACAAGTTCATTGTTAATCTGGCTGTTGGATGTATAAACTAAAGTATATGTTTATCACAAGTTATCGTACAATGTGAAAGTTAAAGGACGACTTAGATAAAAAATCATGTGTAATCGTGGGTTGCCAGTCTTACAGGAAGAAAAGAAAATACTCAAGATGCAATAACATTTCATCGGTAAGTTCGGATTGTTTTCGGCTTTAAGGAAATAAGTGAATAACCTAAAACTATGTTATTATATTAAAAGTACGTGTAAGTAATGTTCATGTCCAATTATCTGGCGTTTTTTGCATTAATTATCAGAAGTATTGTTTTGTTTTTCGTATAGTGATGTACATTTCTATATCGATAAGAAAATTTTATTATATTCTATTATTACCCACATTTATTATATTATACTGCTACAAATTTCCAAAAACTGCAGCAGTGGAACAGCAATGACTACAGAGAATAATAAGATCAAATTTGACATGAACTAAACGCAGTCATGATTCTGCTCTAGAATCGATAATCCAAATGAAGCAGTAATGGATTCGAATTTTTGTCTTTATTCCGTATACAAATGATCTTATCTTTTATAAAACCACAAGCTTAATGCTTTATGTGTAATGTATTATTATTACTTTTTTATTTTTATGTGATTAACAATTCATATGATTTAACTAATTGTAAGTCTAAATTGCTTTTAAATATGATTTACCTGTTAAATGTTTTCGCGATCACCCTTGCTGCCAATGTTATTGTATTAATACACACTAACAATATTTTATTACAACTTAAATTTTTTTCAAAGAATTGTAAATGTTAATAATTTGTTTTATCAAAAATAAATATAATATTATTAAAAAAAAAAATTTCAAACTCATATCACCGTCTCTTGTTTATATCAACTCTTTTTTATCGATAAAATGTCGATAAGGTTCGTTACGGTATATTACGGTCGTACATTACGGTAAACATAGTATGACAAACGTTATAAATTTCTTTTTAATGAATTAACACGGGTCATAAGGGAAAAAAGACGAATACATGTCTTCGCTTGCTACTTTAGCGCGGTTTCTATGCTTTAGTTATTATTCTCGGATCTCTCCACTCAAATATTTTAACATTATCTGCCGATTTGTTATTCTGCCAATACGATTCGAATTTATTAAAATTTAACGACAACAAAATTCCAAATTTAACTTGGGCTTTCACTACCAATATTAAAAAAGCAGAGTTTATAAAATACTAAAAAATTAAATAAACTTAGCGAAACACTGGATTCTGGCGAAATCCACAAGGGTAACACCATTAATTAAAAATAAAAAGAAGAATTTAGATACAGGTACGGCATACATGGATTACTTGAATCAATAAAGTTGACCTAAATCCGATTGTTACTTTCATTTGAGTTTCAGTCCTTCGTAGTTCATTGTTTACAATAATAAAACCAGGAGCTTTAAGCTGCTCTTCTGTGAACTGTGCTTTAAGCAATGTAAGTTACATAGTCTAACAATACAAGTTATTTATTAGACACAATCTTAATAAAATTATTAGATCAAATTTCACCCATTTTTAATTAATTTAATTAAAACGATCAATAAATGAGATCGAAAAGAAAGTTTATTCTAAAACTGCGATAGGAATGGCTGTTCATATCGCAGTTTTAGAATAAACTTTTTTTAAAAATATAGTAAAATATTTGAAAATATCGAGTCAACAGCAGACTTTGCACTCGCGAGGATGATATAACGATTGTGTCAAGTAATCCTAACACGATTTTTCAAACAATTCTGCTCCAAAATAACCCCATATTTTTCCTCAAAAATGCAGTTTTCTAGAAATAAAACCTTAAATATGCAGACCGTTGCAATTGTTTATCTAAAAAGAAATATTTTGAATGTAGATAAATTTAATTTCTTGTTAATGCTTGCATGTGGGTTATATCGTTTTCAACTTAAATAGTAAAAAAAAGCTTTGCCTTTCTATATCTTTTATTTAGGTAGAAGCATTATAATGTCGAACACCAACATTCTAGAGAAAATAGAAGATTAATATTACCTACGTAAGACTATAGGCTCCAAGAGTTAAGATTCCTTTGCCGAAAGTGAAATTATTTCTACGGCAGCTTATTGTTTTCCACCCAAGATTGGCTGTATGGCTTAGTTCCTTCGCCTATCCCATGGACGAAACGAAACTACTACTTATAGTTTTCCGAATAAACTCTCAAGTGGAGCTAACCGTTCTTACTACGATGACGTAGTAAGTTTTCTTGTGCTCAAACTGTGCAGTGGCGTAAGCGTAAGTGGGCAGATTGAAGAGGTCTAATAGAACACCACTCTCATCGCACAAGTCAAATTGTGTAAACGAGCCGAGACGACACTTCTTTCTAATGTACTCCAACATTATTCTATAAGGAAAATATAAATATTAAAACCTGATATTTCGTTGAGCCATACGTCAATTGGTTTCTCCTATGCAACAAACCGTTAAATGTTAATTTATTTCATTACATCTAATAAACTCCAGCTGTGACTCTATAGCTACTCAAACACATAGAAAATATAGATGATTTTCAGACTATAGAAATATTTAATTTCCTAGGGCATGCTAAAAATAGCCATTGACATAACATTTTATACGAGCGTTGAAGGAAACTATACGTATCGTTATCTATAAACCTTTGTATCGTTTTCGCATAATACTACTGCCTACTGTTGTAAGGATGGGGTAAGTGTCACCTATGGCGTTCTGTACAACAAAACGCAGTAGTTTTTTGCCTGCTCTAAAAACAGACAATAGCCATTTCCTCCATATTAAAAATATGTCCAAATTATTATAAGCGGGAGATTTATAAGTTATCAGCTACTCGCGTGAACATTAAAAAAGTACGTAAATATTTTCAGTAATTTTAATAATTTCCTCCTATTTTATTAAGTCAACTAATACATAATGTAATCTAAAGACGGATGTGAAATGTAAATATAGAAAAATTTTAAATATAAGAGTCATTTTTGGGGGTAAATCAGTGATAGATAAAAGTTCCTGTTCCTGTAACTCACCTTACAGGGCATATAGGATTGACAAGTAAAGTTTTCTCCAAAGATACATCAGGTTCCGATGAACGCCGTCGTATATGAGAAAGCTCTGGTGCGTCCTTATAAACAACAGTGATAAACATTTTTATTAAATACGAAAACCCAAAGAGTTTGCAAAGAGTATTGTTTAAAATAAAAAATGCTTCTAAGCTTAGTTAATCATAGATTTGAAATGAAATGCAAACTTCTTCTTCTTCTTCTTCTTTTTTAATTCATGGCCTATTTGCATTTACACAATTCCGCCAATGTCACGTTTGTGGTCTTTACACGTATAGAAACAATAATAAAATATGTAAAATTTTGAATTTAAATAAAATAAAAAAAAATAGCTCTGAGCGCGTCTATCTGATTACATTGTTAATGCAAACTTCAATGAGTATAGTATCTAATTGACACTCAAAGAGTAAAGTGTGTTTTCACTCAAAGAGTAAATAAAAGAGTAGAGTAAATTTAATCCTAGATTTAAAAATCATATAATATAGTATGATAATAGCAAAGAAGTAACACTAAGATCCTCATTGCAAGATACTGGATCTATCTTTCCACGTGAGATATACCGCAGCGGGTTATATCAGGTAACCAACCAAGATACCTCAGTGGCTAGAAAAGCTTGATTTGATACATAAGGTGCTTTTTCTCAGCGGTAGCAAAAAATAACTTGAAAGTCATATAGCTTGGATGGAGTGTTCCTGTACTTTATCTTAAGAAAGTAAATTAGAGACACTTTTTTACATAAAACACAAAAATATTACATACCAAATGATAGAAGTAATAAAACTTAACAAAAACTTAGGGATATTAAGTATACATGAAATGAACTTAGAACTTATAATATTTCGTCGTAACTAAGCTATGTAATATATTTTAGGCTTTGATGTAAGACATCAAGTATCACACTAACATGATATACACACATCAACATCATCTAGGGATATTTTAATTATTCTTAATTTCCTCAGTTTTTTTTTCTGAATAACATACAACATGTTTATATTTTTACAAAGCCCATTTATTAACGTAGATTATAGAATAAAACATAAATATTTTTTTTGTACCTAAAAATTATTTATTTAAGTAAAGACGAAAAGTAGAATAATGGTAAGAATAACGATCAATGTGTTTTTCAAGAAAAAGTGTAAAATACAGCGAAATTATTCCGTTATTTCCAATTTTGCGAAAATCGATAGTCAATAAAACCCCCCATGACGTTAACGACGGTCCTGCAACGATTTTTCATGTTTCGAATCAACTTATCAAAGTCTTGCTGCGGGATATTGTCCCAGGTCCTGGAAAGATATAAAAAAATAGATAGATAGATAAAAAGTTTATTTCTCAGCAACTCACAATTACATTACACAAAAGAAACAAAGAAGAACAAGAAGCAGAAATATACCTGTGTGCAGCAGTTGAGAAGGGTCTAGGCTCGGTGCACTAAAATCATCTAATGCGGATGAAGCACCGATTTTCAGCCATCACCCTGAATGAGACGAGCGGGGACAAAATATTTTTTTAAATTATTCGAATGAATAGTATCAGGAAGATATAATGTCAAAAAATAATATAAATAGAGATAAAAATGGTACAATAAAAAAATCGGGAAATAAAAAAATAATTAAATAAAAAGTCATGTCAAGTATAATTTATGATAAATGATAGTATAGTGTTAGAAGTCAGATATATATTGATAAGAATAATGTCAAGATGGAAATATTAAATGTCAGAAAGGTAAATTGCTCTTCAGTGACAATTTTTGTAGGTAAATTCCTCAAAGCCCTTCTTTGGAGCATGTCTCACGCGTACATATTTTATGGGGAGTAGGTAGGTGATTGCGCGGGCCAGTCTAAGACCGATACATCGTGCTCCTGCAGCCAGCCGGCGATCACTCGCGCTGTGTGGGGACGAGCATTGTCGTGCATGAGCGTGAATTGTTGACCCATTTGTAGTCGATATGGGTAGATTTCTCGCAGCGATTTGCAAAAATCGGTTTTATCGTTGGGTGGTTATGCACTTCCCGCCTAGGTGTCTTTCAACCACTTCACCAGTAGCACGATAACGTGACCATAACCGTGATATCACGTTTTGTTTTGTTCCGATGTCCTCAGCAATACTCCGTTGAGTAGCCCCAGCTTGGAGCATGCCTACCGCCCTTAAAATTACATACTCAAATTAAACAGCTAATTTGTTTTAAAAACTATGGTAGGTTAATTAAAAACTTCGAACTTCGCTTGAATTATGCCACGCAAATCTTTTGTTTGAAATATATATTTTTTTAATTCAAATTTGGAATCATCAAAAAAGGCGTACTAAATAAGTTTTCTCAAAAGATTTTAAAACCGGCCAGTATTTTTTGAATTTAGAATTTTATACAAAATATCCCTAGACGATGTTTATGTGTGTCTTGTAGTATATAGGTATTAGTAATCGACAACAATAAACATTTACCCATGAATTGTCTTTGAACAAATGGTAATTTTTTTCTAACAATACCTTGGCGTGACTTTAGTCTATACAAAAATATTTGTAAAAAAACAAGTGCCGATACCTATTGTTTTTAAAATAAATCGTTTATTTCCTTTTAGCGGTAATCACTTTACAGACCTTGTTACTTGGTAGTTCATGGATATGAGAAAATCATTTAGGTACCGATTAGCATATACTATGACTACAAAAATATTAAATAAATATTATTTTAATACTTATATTTAAATTCGTCGAACTAATATTCAGTTATCGATTTTTTTATGTAATGTGCTGTGATGTGCTACCTTGTTTACCTAAGCGAATGTACGCACAACAGCGCTTAGGTACGACAAAAACCTTATCGTATCTTGACCTATAAAAATAAACGTGGGCACCGGCAAACTCACACCAAAACAAACGTGGAACTACCAGAGAACACACTTAAGGTCACAGCACACTGTCCACGTTCAGCCTTGACCTCAAAACAGTTGCGTTCACTCACATTCAACAGTTTCCCAACGCAAGGAATCTAACCGTAGCGATTCCATATTTCATAAGAGCGATACATTGCAAAAGAGCAGTGCAACCGCGCACATTGGCGTTTGCACGACGCCAGTGAGCACTCGCCTGATAAAGGAAACAGTAATGTTTTGGTAACGAGTGCCCGACGCGCACGTGTCGGCTAAGCATCAATAAAAAAATTAAGGAAAACGATAGAAGATACGAATAATGAAATCGAAAAGATGTCCCTAGCTGGCGTTTCGAATTTAGTGATGTTCGGTGTGGCAGCATGGCCGCCTCCTGGGCCGATACCCAACTCCTTCCATTTCCACCACCAAGGGTCGAATTTCGCGGTATTTTTGATTCTGTTCGCGCTGTGCATGCTGGAGGTGGTGGTGCTGAGGATTATAACGGAGGAGCAAGCGCGGGAGCAGGGCACCAGAAGTGTCACGTCCCTGTGGTTCGATTTGGACGATGAGAACTGATTCGGAAATTATGGTGTATACCAGTGCCTAGAGTGTAGTGCAATCACTTTACTGTGACTCAAAAGACCCAGTTTCAGATTTAGAATGTAATAACTTACGATTTTAATTTTCTTAAAGCATAGATGTAAGTATAGAAAAGATATTTTTAAGAATATTAGACTGGTAAAGTATCTTAATTATTTTAATCTTAGATGAATCTAAAAGATGCAGCAGAACCACAATGTTTTCATGAATAAATCAATCAATAAGCTGTCCGACAAGTATATTGTTTGTATATATTTTTTTATATTTACGGCGATAATCTCATTTTACAAAAAAAAAACTATTTTCTTGCATGAACGCTTTATTGAAAATATGTTTATATTCAATGAAAGTATGTAATAAAAATAAATAACTAATAGATAAAAAAGATTTTTGTAATAAATATAATTGGTAATAAACATTAGCGTCTGTGATAGAGGCGAAAAATGATTCGCGCACGAAGGGTTCCGTACTGGAAACGAGCAAAAAAAGTCACGATTATTGTATGTGAGCCCCCTTAAATGATTATTGTATCCTGGCTTTTAGTTTTTTTTTTTTTTTTTTGTTGAAGCGAAAATTTCAATTGTCTAACTTTCATGATTCATGAGATATAGCCTGGTGACAGACAAACAGAAAATCTTAGTAATGGGGTTGCTAAGATCTGGAAACCTAAAAACGACTTAAAAAAATTAGGCTTAATGGGAAATTATTTACGACACCCTGACTTTGCATTCTGTATACAATGAGGTACTGAAGGGTAGGGATTGTACTGCCGTTATTTTTAGAATTAAAAAATTACAAATTTTATGGCAGATCATTACTCTTTTATTTATAATAGAAGAAAAGATTCTGAACTACTCGCACGAATTAATATAACGCCTATTGTATTTCGTCCATTTTAAAAATTATCCATATTAAAGGCAATCTGATTTTGCCTTAGATTCTATTTAGAATATAATAATATCTAAGGCATGATCCATAAAATTTTTACAAAATCATTATTTTTGGCGTTTCACTATTTCTTTAGAGTTTTTTGATAATAGAAAAGAACTGACCTGTTTTAAAAATTCTTTCATTAACCAAAGCTACACCTTACGCGGGAAAAGCCGCGGGAATACAACTAACGTGATTTATACAGATAAACGTAAATAAACTTATTAGTAAACAATTTTAAATTATTCGCATACCCTGTTTTGGATTTGTACACTGACTGAGAAAATATATACCTATATGTTTCTTGTTCATTTAACCTAAGACTTTGTATTCACCAAACATTATACTCAATATACTTAAATATTTATATATTTAGTATAGTTATTATTTTAAGACATAGTTAGTACTCTAATATCTTAATCTAATGGTGGAAATGAGTGGCGCAATGAAAAACTGGTTGAATTCTTCAGTCTTGATTTTATTTGCGAATAAAATACAATAAATTACTTACAACTAAATTCTAATATACTGACTATATACTGCAGTGCGATTCTGTAAAAATCCAGACCTGAATTCGAATTCACTCATGTGTCCGAATTCACGTCATTTAGTATAGAAATATTATTGATTCTATTTATTGTACAAAAATACTAAATAAAATTGATTAATTATTTGTGTCATAC